GAGTGCATGCAGTATTAATATTGAGGCAATCTTTGCTGGTCCAGTCTGGAAGCTTCTTTTTGGCACCTAGGTCGCCCTTTTATGTGATTTCATCACTTTGAATTGAAGATTGATTCCTCATTAAAAGTGTCAATATGTCTCTGAAGATAGGGCCTCTCGAAACCAGCTGTCGCTAATCTCCTTTCAGCAGATGTACTCGTGCTGTCATAGAGAAACTAAATCAAGAACTCCTCTGGTGTAGTTTCGATTTCAATGTGAATGTCTGTCAGTTTTCTTTCTTGTTTGTTTGTTTGTTTTAAATGTTGTTCACAATTAAATATAGCTTCAGTGGTTGGGGTTTCTAACATTTAATTATTGAAAACTCTGTTCTCAGATCACCTTGTTGAACTTTTCCAAAAAGCAAAATGCCTGCTCTTGTCTGTGCTGAGGAAGGTAGTGCATTCTCTGCTGACTGTCTATGCAGTACTGATCCACAGCTCCTGGAATGAATGGTGCATGTTTCCTCTGCATGCACAGCTATGTTCTGCATGTGTATGACCCACATTTGCAGTCCAGCTGTGGGCATGCTTGTCCTGTATGCAGCTATATGTGTATATGTGTTTTTGCAGCAAACCCCCCGTATAAGCGAGGCCACCGTAAAACTGCATCATTCGGAACCATACTGGATGTCCCCAAGATCGTCGTTACAGGTATCACTGGACTACTGGTCTTTCCGGTGACACGGTGGAACTGGCTTGAATGAGCCTGTGGGTTACTGTCATCAGACATGGCTTTCTGTTGTGTGTCACTCCATATGATCCCCTCAAGAATGCAGATAATGTTCATAACATTTAAATTTTTTTCGAATTTGCCCTCTGATTTAAAAACACAAACCAAAAATTTAAAATTTAAAAAAACAACAACACAGAAGTCCTTGAAGCTGATTTTGGAGTTACATACATCATAGCTGTGTCATGTCCTGTTTTCTGTTTTTTCTTTGTTTGTTTTTCGTAAAATATTGAAGTTTTCTCATCTGTTATCAACACATTTGTTGGAGCTGTGTGCATATTTGTCCACTAAAAGCAAGTGGTTGTTAATCAGTACATTATAGTCAGTATGTTGACATAGATGAGATAACTTTCCTAAGTCCTGGCCCTCTCCTGTCTCTTATATCCCTGGCTTGGCTGCAGCAAATCACGGGTAGCAGTAGTAAATTAGTGCATTTGAGCTTGTCCTTGACTTTCATGCTTAGAGGACATTGAGAAAGCATGGCTATTTTTTTTCCCCATTTCTCACTCACTTTCCATCCATCCACATCCACTTTGAAAAAAGTCATTTTGATTAATTTCCCTCACAGTGAGGGTCAGAGCTATTATTATAAGTTGAGATATGGATCAAAGGGAATGGGGACAACTCTGCCTGTCAGAAATACTTCTATTTTGAAGATATATGAGAGACATTGAGTAAGTGTTTCATTTAATCAAGTGGTGCAGGGAGTCTGCATGGAATTGTTATAGATGGTAAGGCACGCACCTTTGGATCTGCAAACCTGTACAAGGAAAAAAAATAACCAATTTATGTGATGAGTGTCAGTAAAATGTGGTCTGATCTTCATCGAGTCACTTTTCCATGATCCCTCCAGATCACCGCTGACTCACCATCAAACCAATCACGTTGGTGGTGAGTGAGCGACCTGACCGTGGGGTGTGCTTTGATCTGTGAAACGTTACATGTGTAACACTGTCTATGTGACTACATTTAAGAAGTGCTTAAAATATTTGAAAAATGTTTAGTGTCATCTTGTCAGTACAGAACATGACATCATCAGGTTGGTTGTTTGCAGTCAATAGGTTTATATTAGTGTATGTTATCTAACTAGTAATAGAACCAATAACTCTAAAACTAAAAATTTGTCTTAATAGGATCACTTTTCATGGATGTAAATTAGAAATTTGGGGAATGTCCTGACTATAGAAGAATCCCTTTTCCAAGTGGGTGGTGTTAAAGTTGATATCGCTTATTTTATTTATTTGTTTGTTTGTTTGTTTTAGGCGTCAGTTAATTGTGAATCACACAGGCCTAGAAATCAGTCAAATCCACCAAAATAAGTCTGCACTGGTCGTGACTTGCGACCAGTTGCAAATGGTTGCTGTGAGACTCATTGCTATAGAGCCATCCACGGAGACCTAAAGACTTCATTGACCACTGACCCCCGTGACCTGTTTGGCAGGCGATTGCTGGATGTTGCGGCCAGTCTTTCATGTGATATTAGTTGCAAAGATGTATACAGTGCTACACCAAAAGCTTCCTGGGGATTTCTTTGGTAACTAGCAGGTCGCCAACAGTTTGCATAGAAGATGCTGACCAGTCTGCAAACTACTTGCCAAGCAGTTGTGCGTTTTTAAAATGTGTTGGTTGCAACATGTCATTGCTGGTTGGTGAAAAGTTTATGCAAAATGTCACATTTTTAATCGTTAATTGCATTGTTTGCCATAACTTTGATTACAAGTATTGCTTTTTTCAGTCCATTATGAATGTATTATTATTTAGAGGCCCTGTCACACTGTCCTAGAGATTAGATAACAAACACCAGCAACCGCAATTTTAACAGGAGGACGTTTTATCTTAGACTGTCCCAGTTCCCATTTAACATTGCCATTTCAGAGATTGTGACCATATATAATACAGATTAATGGTATGTTGGTAAAATGTCAAAAGTCTGATGTCTTGAATAATATTTAGCATTTTTGGGAGTCCTAAAAAGTTTAATTCCATTCAAAGCTTAGTTGATATTGGTGTGAAGCCCAGAGGGACCTGCCTGCTAATAAAATATCATTTTAGGTTAGTACCTGTGGCTAATTGTCATGTTGTTGCTCCAACTGTCAACTCTTAGCTTCAGAGTGACTGTTATTCCTAAAGACAGATATGTAAATTATTAGTGCTATTATGAGGAGTGGTAGTAGTATTACTCCATGTACTATTGGTTGCACTCGTGTTTTGGTGCTAGTTTGTGACTCTGTGTAACATATAGGGATGGATATCGTTTAGGTTTTATCCGATACCAGTACTAAACCGGTACTTTTGAAACGGTGCCGGTGCTTAAACGGTGCTCGAACCGGTGATTAAAGAATGGAGAACACAAAATTGGTCCAAAAACCTCTCATGTTTAGCTGTTTTTATGTAAAAAGATAACAATGTTAGCCTTTTATGCAGCTATGGGGGATTTATGGTATCACTCTTGGCTGGAAGCAGTGCTTAAACAATGAAAAAAACAAAACACAAACTTTGTCCAAAAACCTCTCATGTTTAGCTGTTTTCCACTTTTTCTTTGGTCATTTTAGCCTTTTTGGCCAGGGTGAAGGGAGTATCTGCCATCAAACAAGAAGACAGCCACATGTAACTACGACGGTGTTTGCTAGTTCACCTTACAGGCATTAATTTAATAACGTGGTTAGCCTACTCAACGTAAATTACACACGAACAACATTAAGCTACTCGAGGCTGCTGCTACCATCATCCGTCATCATTTCTGCTACACTGGCAGGGCTAGGGGCCAGCACTCTCCTCTTTGGGTTTTTGTGGGATGTTGCTAACTCCGGGTCTGATAACAGGCACCACACCTGCAGTAGATGTGCTCGGTGTGAGGTCTCGCAGTAAGCTATCAAATACGCCGCATTTTTCGGCTTTTAACAAAATGCTGTACGTCGCCAGGTGTTTCATCAGATTCAAGGTATTACCTCCTTTGCACAGCATCACCTTAAAGCACTTGTTGAAGGCTGCTGAGTTTGCATCTTTTGCTGTGAAGTACAGCCAGACTTTGACCGCTTCACCTTGGGCATTTTTAATCTGTAGCACTGCTCTAAAAGAACGTACGTACCTGGGCACGCCTACTACGCTTGCAAAGGTAAAATGATTGGCTAGAATCCAAAGTGTATGACATCTCAGGGAAAAAAAAAAGCACCGAAATGTGCACTGCTTTTCAGTCTGGTTACTACCGTTTATGTCAGAACCGGTGCCATTATGGCACCAGTTCTGACATAATACCGGTACCCATCCCTAGTAACATGTGTGGAGAAAACACTGGAATTCTGTCAGAACTTGAAATTGCATGCAACTGAAGAGTCTTGTAGTTCCTGCAAGGTGATCGAGCTGATGTTCTGATTGCACCTAATGTCATCCTGGCATAGTGTTAACCTGACCAGCAGATGAATTGCTGATTACTAGAATGAGTACTGTGACATTTTGTGTTTTTGTCTGAGCCGCCCCCAACAACCTTTTTTGTATTTTTGTCTGGAGTGGTGGTTTGTGTGTATGCTGTGTTCTCTGTCAATGGCGGTTACTTATAGCCCCGCTGTTTTTGTTCTCTTCTACCCATCCCTGAGTCTGATTCTGCTGCAGGTGTCTTTATGTTAAAACAGAGTTTTTCCTTCGCACTGTTGCCAAGTGCTTGCTAGGGGGATTGTTACAGGGAGTTGGGTGATTGTTTGGGTTTCTTTCTAATATTGTTGGGTCTTTACATTTCGATATTGTGAACCTTGAACAAGTGGCACAACATAAATAGAATAGAATGGATTGGTTATGTTCCCGCCACACCACAACTTATGATGGTTAAGTAAGTGCAACTGTTACAGTATGGCTCTGTGGGTCTGGATCCCCGTCAAGCCACAAGCAAACACAGGGATTAGTCCCCCAGTACCACTATCCATAGTACTTGAGGTCTCACTCTTTCTCTTGTCTGTCCTTTACGCTTTTCACAGCCACATGTGAGTCTCAGAGACGTCGGTCTGTACAGGATCTGCCAGGCATCTGCACAGAATCCAGCCAGGTAAGACATGTGCATAGGACCTGTGAGGTTTTAGCTTTTTGATGATTAGTGACTTTAGGGATTGAGCGTTTAAAGAGATCTAACTTAAATCACATTTTTTAGTTTGAAAGATAACAGTTAGCTTTTCTAGTTTCACGCTCTTTATGGTGTGCTCAGAATTATAGCTTCACTGTTCAGTCCTTAGCAGTTTAACAAAACCATATTCACAGATCACGTCACAGCATAATGCGATTGTCTACTATACCATTAAAGTATCTATGCATTAGATTCATTAGTAAACTTAAAACCTGCACAATCAGAGTGCACAGTACTTTTGTGTCAAGCTTAAAGCATAACAGCCACATTGTGGGACACAAATGTGACAGAACTGCTTAAAGTGGCTGTTAAATGGTGCGCTCATTATTCTTCACTATTGCTGCTAACAAAACACTGTGGAGCATCTTCAAAGACATGACATTACTAAAAATGTCTCCATGTTGTCTACAATGAGTGCACTATTTTGCTCATATTTTGGTCCAGATGTCATTTTCTCACTCTGAGACTTGGAGGGTATTATTGACTTTTTGGCTTCTTTTGTAACCTTTGCAGGGGAGTAGGAACAGCAGTCGATCTTCCAGTCCAAGTGTGAGAATGATGCCGCCTGACAAGACAAGTGGCAGGGGCTATTTCTCCCCCGATGACCCCACAGGTAATGACAACTGCACAAATTCCACTACAGTTAACTACTGTTTACTACATTGGGTAGTGCCACCCAATGTACAGCCACAATTGAGAAGGGAATCACTGTTGAAAAGTTTTTGTAAGCTATTTGTTTGAAATTATGAGCAACAGTACAGAAATTATTATATAATTATTGTAAGTATTAAGTCTCAAACTGCCACATTGGGAAAGTATTATTAGGACTGAACATATGAGTCATATCATGTGCAGTAACAGCTGGGAACTCCTGGCATCTCAGTTTCTGATGAAAACTGCTAATTGGTAATCCTCAAAAAGCTCTCCTCTTCCAAATCCATGACAGTCTAAGTGAATTGAAACAAATCCTTTCTGGACCATATCAAAAAGTTTAGTTGCGAAGAACTTCTTGTCAGCTGTTCCCACTGAGGTATCCATGTCAAATGTCAGAGTGAAAAATTGTACCCCTCAGTGATTTATTACACATCTATTAAACACAATGACTATACCACCATCAATATCACTGTGGCCCAACTTTATAACTCATTCAGGCTACCTTTATAAATGTTAATGATTTTTCTGTTTTTTGGCCAAAGATGTGTTTAGGACATGTGTTGCTCATTTCTGACATTTCTGTTTCTATGAAGTCCCAAAACAGCCTGTTATATATCTTTCTCCCCTCAGATACAAATGGCTCAGACAACTCCATTCCCATGGCTTATCTCACCCTAGACCATCAGCTGCAGGTACACCATCCTATCAGGCACTTGTACACAATGCACTGATGTGTAAATAATAGGGGTGCAACGATACACAAAATTCACGATTCGGTTCGATACTTTGGTGTCACGGTTCGATATTTTTTCGATACAAAAAAATGTTCATTCCTTTTTAATTTGTCATTTATTAAAATTATAAATATATATTTTAACTCAAAAGTACAGTTTTTAAATGTAATGTTGCTGAAACAACAAAATAATTTAAAAAAAAATCTATCTGATCGAGAAATCACTCATCTTTGGAAAAGAGTTTATTTCAGAGAAATGGCTCTTTCCAAAATAAAAGCTATACTATACGCTTCTTCTGGGCTATATTCTCAGCAGCATATTAAATATATCAGGTCCCCATAAGGAGAATCATGTGCTAACGGCTGTCTAAATGACTCGGGTAGTTTGTAGCATACGTACTTGTTGTTTTTGTCTGCTTCCACTTGTCTTTGCACTAGGATGATGTCGGCGTAAATGTGCAGTCATATTCGTTGTGTTCCCACTAGTGCTGTCAGCGTTAATCTCGTTAAAATTGACATTAACGCCATAACGCGGCAAATCTCCGTTAACGAGTTACTGCGGATCGCCCCGTGTGTGGGGCTGGACGGCGTCAACACGTTAACGAGCTAACTGCGCTAACGCACTAATTCCCAACAATGTAATTGAGCATTGCGTGGCACATCTAACATACTGTTTTACTTTTGTCCATGACGCGCTTACCTTCAGGGTCATACTTCACATGAAGACCAAAATAGTTCCAAACGCCAGATCTGAATGAGGGTGGGGGAGGTTCAATTTTGGCTAGCGTTGAGGCAGTTGCCATGTTGCAACGAGCTTAACATCTGTCTCGCTAGCTTGCGCTGAGCTCAGTGGATCTATGCTCGACAGTGCAGCCTAGACGGAGTAGTTGAACGCAGATACACTGAGCTCTCAACACAGACAGCATCGTCAGAAGAAAAGTTGATAAAATAAATTAAAAATTTTGTATTGTTCGATACATATGCGTACCGAACCGAAAGCACTGTATCGAACGGTTCAATATCGATACGAGTATTGCTGCACCCCTAGTTAATAACCCTTCCTTCCCACTGTCACCAAAAGTGCTTGCTCATAGTGGGTCATATGAATGTTGGGTTTTTCTCTGTATGTATTATTGTAGGGTATTCCTTACAATATAAAGCGCCTTGAGGCGACTGTTGTTGTGATTTGGCCCTGTGTAAATAAAATTGAATTGAATTATGCTTTGTAATGTAAATGCTGTATTGAATCTGATGCGGCTCAGCTGCACTGGTATCAATTCAAGTTCATTGAGTTTTATTTTTAGAGTGCCAAATCACAACAACAGTTGCCTCGAGGCACTTAGCTATGAGGCGACTGAGGCCATGGGACATCAGCCATCTCATTATTATTATTATTTGTAGAATCCCAGTAGAGCACTACGATCTTCCAATCAGATGCTCCTAGCACAACCTAGGTGTCGGCTGAAGTCCAGAGGTGACCGGGCCTTTGCAACCGTGGCACCTAGACTCTGGAATAACCTCCGTGTTCATATTCGGACCGCCGAGTCTATCCAGTCTTTTAAATCATGTCTTAAAACCCATCTTTTTACTTTGGCTTTTGATTCTAACTAGTTGGCTGTTATCTTGCTTGTTGTATTGTCACCTATTGTTTCCTTCCCTGTTTTCTTACCGTTTTGTTTTAATTGCCTCATGCTTTTACTGACTGTGAAACACTATTGTCAACTTTGTTGTTTTTAATATGTGCTATATAAATAAATTTTGATTAGATTAGATTATTATTATTATTATCCCTGAGGACATGATGCTCTGTAAACAGAGTAATGTAAATTTAAATACGCACTAGCTGATACTAATGCCTGAGCAGAATATTTTTAAACAGCGTCCATTTTCATTTCCAGCCCCTTGCTCCCTGTCCCAACTCCAAAGAGTCCATGGCTGTTTTTGAGCAACACTGCAAGATGGCCCAAGAATACCTGAAAGTGCAAACTGAGATTGCCTTGCTAATCCAAAGGAAGTAAGTGTAGTGACTAAAGTCAAGTGTTGCTTAATTATTTTTCTTAAATTCACTTTCATTCAAAGACCTCACATAAACCCCAGTGGAAGATGCTTATTCATTGTGTCTTAACTGCCAAATCTCACAGCTGTAATGTGTGAATGTTTAAAATTTTAATTGCATAAAAGCTACCAAAGCTGCATGCATAATCTCGTAACATAATGTTGAAAATGACATGCCTAAAAACGCAGCCCCCCCTGACTATCTGCACAGGAAGGAGCTCATTGCTGAACTGGACCAAGACGAAAAGGACCAGCAGAACACGTCCCGTCTGGTGCAGGAGCACAAAAAGCTGCTGGAGGAGAATAAGAGTCTGTCCACATACTACCAGAAGTGTAAAAAACAGCTGGAGCTGATCCGGGTTCAGCAACAGAAGAGACAGGGCACGTCATGATGAAACACAAACTCTGCCACTCCCCCTCCTCACCCCC